TAGGAAAGGATTGAGAAAGGGTTGTGGAGAGGAACTTCTTAATGTGAGTGTATAGAATATGTGAGAAAAAATTATTAGATAGCTCGGACTGGGATTCGAACCCAGAACCTTCCGAAGACATGTCAGCTACTCTACCATTTAATGTGACCTATAACATACTTATACTTTATAATAATTTTTATTAATTTTATAGGCCATTCAAAAATTTTGAAATAATGAAAACTTTTTTTCAAATGTGGTTTTATTAGAATAACTTTTAAACGGCTTTACCGAGCGATTCCAAAAACTAATCAGCTCTTAACATAAAAAAAAACACGTCGATCGCCACCAGACCGGTCAAAATCGGTTGATTCGCTCGTGAGATATCGTTGATAAAAAAAAAATCGAAAAAAGCGTTTTTTTCAAACAAACTCCGAAACAAATTAAATAACATAAAAAAAGAAAATCTCATATCGCATGAAATCTACTTTCCATTTCGGGTGAGGCCGAATGGCATTTTTTTTTTTTTTTTTAAATGATCTTTGTTTATATACAGTAAAATAAATTTTAATTAATGATTTTATGGTATTTCATTCTTAATTTATAGTATAAAGTTGTAATTAATGTCAACTGTATCGATACTCATTCATTGCATTATCCATTTCGAAAGAACAATTCAAATAAAATTTCTAAAAGTCTTAAAATAATCTTTGAAAAGAAATAAGGAATTTATCAATGTTTTGTGACTTCGCTGAAAATTATGCATTCGTCATACAAAATGCAACACATCTTTTTCACTGGAATAACAATTTTGAATTTTCTAAAAACTTTGTCAACGTGTATTAGCATGAGATTGATTTTAACATACGTCATTTTTTCGCGATTGCCCATGGAAAAGGTCCATGCGACAGAGTGTGTGGCACCGAATAAACTTCCTAACACAACGGTTCGCTTTTCACTAAAGAAGGATTATCATAATGCTGTAAATGATTTGAATGACATTTTTAAAAACAAAACCAATTACGAGAACTCAGCAACCATTTAGTGTAATGCCAGATACAGATAATTGTTTTTATGTTCGATATTCTTATAATCCAAATTAATATAAAACATATAACTTATTTAAGTTGAATTTTTTTCAACGCCACTTTTTTTTTGTGTGCCGGTGTAATTATTTATAAGTTTAAACTATAAATTAAGAACAAAATTTAGAAAATTAAAAATTTCATCAAAACTGGCTTTTAATATGTTATTTGAATTTTTTTCTGAAGTGCATTTAAAAACAAAAAATAAAAAAAAAACGTATCAATAGGTCAATTTTTGAAAAATTTACGGCTATTAAAAAAAGAAACCATTTTTTTTAGTCGATAACTTTTTTGGGTTGGCTAAAGAATTTGAATAAAATTCTGAAAAACGTCGGAGGGGGGGGGGCTAAAACGAGATAAAACATTTTCAGCAAAATCGAAAAGGCTCGGGTCCAAAAATAATCAATTGGACATGCAATACCCCATGAAGATTATACTAATTTGTAGGAGAGCATGTGGAATACGACGACCTCTCCCATAGTCGAAGACTACAACAATGATCCACCAAAGACTAATACGTTTTGTTGTTATCAAATCGAAAATAATTTGTTAAGTTGTTTATAATCGGCTAATTCGTATTAGAATATTATTATTGTAACTTTATTATTGAATATGAATAACTGGTGTAAATTTACTTTATAAAGGATTAGGTTTAGTACAATATACCTGCTGGTCGGTGAGTGGCTATTAACGACGATAGAGCTATTAATTTTTACCCATACACAAAGAGTGTATATGGACGAATATATGCGACACATATACATTTACGTGCGAAATTGAACGTCGGTGACATATACATATGTAATATATGTTGCACTCCGCAAGCTTCGGCTGACATTCATCGGTGATGATTTAAACCGTAGTATAAGGAAGGGAGCGCAAAATGGGGTACCCTAAAAATTTAGTAAAGAAATTTTTTTTTCCGAGAAACTTTAAAAATATTGAAATATAATATAGATATTTATATACCTTTCTCACTTCAAAAATTTTTAGAAAAAATATTGTTTCAAATGATAGAAAAAGAATTTTTTTTTCATAACATGTTATTTACATAATTTTTAAGTAGATTTTAATTTCAACTTGCAATTTAAAAAAAATTCATGAGATCTGAAATACTACTAATATTTTTAACAAGAACTTATGTAAAGATTTTTTATAGTGATAAAAAATTAGCTTGACACAAGAAAAAAATCTCGAACCTAGTAAGATTTTTGGAGAAATTGATTGTCTTGAATAAAAGAAAAATTTTGTTTGGATCAGAAAATTTTTTGGTTCTAGAATCAATTTTTGCTTGACTCAAAATAATCAGTTTCTGTAAAACACTTTCTTGGTATAAGATTTTCTTTTGAGTCGACTAAACTTTTTTTATCAATGTAGTAGAACAATTCGGTACAGTCGAGTCTAGTTATGAGTCCTATTAGTGTCTTTCTGATATTAACGCAAATCTGATTTAAAAAAAAAAAAAAAAATTAGAACTCATAATAAGACTCGACTGTATATTCAAACTGAACTCCTTTTAGTCTGAAAAACATTTTATTCTGTATATATCCGATTAAAAATAAGTATATCCGAAAAAGATTAGTTTGATTCCAAAAAATATTTTTCAAGACCAAAATAGTTCAAGATATAATAATTCTTGAACCATAAATTTTTTCGTGTTAAAAAAATTTTCGAACCTCACAAAAATTTTTGTTTTGTCTTGAATAATTTTATCGTGACAAATATTTTCTTGAAGCAAGGATAATATTTCAACTGGAAGTTCTATATTTTCTTTGTTATTTTTGAAATAAATTTAATTTCTTCTCTGTAATTTATTTATTTAAACTATTATAAAATTTCTGTTCGAAAACCTCCGTCAGATGCTAAATATCTCATTCAGAAAAAAACTTTTATCTGAACATAAAAAAGTTAAAAATTATCAATTCATTAAAAAAAAATAATAATTATTATAATGTCTAAGACCAAAGCCCGTTTTCTTTTATTAACGTAATATTCTAATCTAGAACGTTAAGAAAATTGAAAAATTTTGATCGAATAATTTTATTGAATTGATATACTTCAATTGATTTTTCAAATCGCTGACTTTAAACGCGTTTTTCTCGAAACTACTTTTTTCGAAAATTATCTACTCAAATTTGAGAGATGAACCTATACAGCTATTTCAAAGTAATTTCTTGAGATAAAAATGTATCATGAAAAAAAAAAAAATATTTTTTATTCTTTCAGTGCGAGATATTAAAATAATTTTTAACTTTCGTATAATTCAAAGTTTCAAAATAAAGAAGAAATTTATTTTAGTAAGCTTGAAGAGTTAAAGCATGATAATAATTTTCTTAAACTCGAAAGTAGCAGAAAACTTCAGAAAGGGTTCTCAGAGTTGACCGTTCTTCAGATTTTCCTTAACGTGATGAAAGCCGATGAGTAGTATCATAGTGCAAGTCACAACATCAAATGTCACATTACCTGATATAAATCAACATAACTTACAAGCTTTTGTGATTTATGATAAAAATAAGAAAATAACAGAATAAAGAATTTGTTTTTAAATTTTTTACATGCAAACATCGACATGACACGTTTCCATAATTTCGGTGCTAAGAATATATCTGTACTATATTTTATTGTGAAGAATTATCGAATTACATTCAAATCAAATTAAATATATAAACTACTGTACAATATGAATGTTTAAAAAAAGAGTAAAAATATTACGCTTCACAACCTACGTAAAAATTATTCTAAACAATAAAAAACAAAAGCTACAACTAAAAATATTAATCATGAAGACAGAGTAGTCAAAACATTTTTGTAAACAGAAGGCAATTTGTCAAATAGTTTAAAAATCCGTGAAAAAATTCCGGAATTTTGGCAAATGAAAGAAAAAAATAAATAGCATGTCCAAAAAGGTTTTGGAACGCGCATACGATGTAAGGTTTGAAATTCGGAAATCGTTTGCGCTTATGCGTGACATGAACGGTGTCATGTTTTGTCGTAAGCTAGATGTGGAAGATTCAGAGGTCGCGGATAGCTAAGCAGAAAATCAGAGGAGACAGGTTGTCAGGCAAGCAGCTATGATTAGCTCGCCGGCAACTCCAGAAAGCACATGCGTTCAATAGCGTGTCGAGTCCAGCACGTGTGCGGCTGCCCTTCTTCCTTTGACTCATCATACTATCTCTTACTTCTATAATATTACATCTTCACCTCTCTCTCTTTCTTCTATTTGATTTCTGCTACAGCTTCGCCTTCTTCTTCATCTTCTTCTACTTGTTCTCGTTCTTTAGTCACAAATGCCATCGCACCGTTACATAAACGTCTCTGAGTTCTATCCGACTGCCAGGAGCCGTCACGCTGTCCCGTCTTCCGTTCGTATCCATTTCTTCTTCCTTTCTTTTGGAAAAAAAATTTCTTACAAATAGTTATTTCTTTATCATCAACTAAGTTATTTATTGTGTAATTGATTATTTATTTTAATAAATACTAATTTTGTTTATAATATGTATAATTAAGAAAATCGAAACTTATTTAGCTGATTAAATTTAATTGGTATCATTTGCGTTTTTTTTTATTTATTTGTTTTTTATTCATGTATAACAGTTTATAAAAATATGTTAGTTTATCATATTTTATTAGCTCATTTAAAAAATCAACTTTATTAAAAAACTTAGAGATCGCTCAAGATTTTTAAAAGTTTCCGAAAAGTATAATCTTTAATTATTTTTGTTATCTCATCATTTACGTTAAATTACAATTTTTACTTTAAATTTTTTTTTATTTTTTTTTTTTTTTTTTTTATTTTTTTTTATTGTAATTGTTTGAGAATACATATTTTATAACGATGTGACTTCGGTGTAGGCTTATACATAAGTAAATTCAATTGCACTATGCTATAATAGCTTCATCTTAAATATTTTAAATTATAATTTATCAATCTTACAGTTGCTCAGTTTTTTCAAGTAATCAAATTAAATTAAATTATAGTTTAAATTTTAAATGAGTATTGTCCCTGAAAATAATTAAATAATTATCAGTATTAAGCTTAGACAAAAATAATTAATAAGCAATTTAAAATTAAGGTAGATTTGAGGTAACTTATTCAGTTACCCGAGAAAAAATGTTTCTATATAATCATATATAATTGTATATGATCATATATGATTATATATGGAATCACATATATAATTATATAGAATTATATATAATCATATATAATTATATATGACTATATATGGAGCAATATACAGCTATGCAAGATTGTACATAGTCCCATATATAATTATATATGCTTATATATAATTAACATGCATAAAAATTTTTTCTTTGAAAAAAAAATTTTTTTTGGTAATCACAAAAAGTGTAAAATGATGTTTATAATTACGTTTAAATAATTCTGAAATACAAAATTTGTTACATTTCCTATGAGATGTTTTGTCTGCTCTGCTACTACGTAATAGTGAAATCATTATTTATTTTATTATTTAAATAAGTGTTATATTATAATGAAATTCGGTAAGATAAATAAATTATGAATTATGACTATCCAAATATATTATAAAATCAATTTTTATATTATATTTATGATAAACTCATATGATACATTAAGTAGATCATAGAATCATTATTGCCTAAGACAGCAGCACAGCAGACAGAAACTTCAAGACGCACGGAGATAACCAAAGTTAAGCAGCATTGAGTAGGGTTAATAGTTGGATGGGTGACCGCTGGTGTTATAGCCATAAAATTAGATCTAGATATTTTTTTGCATTTTGATCAGTTACACAGAATTGCGTAGGACCATATTAAATACTCTATCCATAAAATTAACCCAATAATTAATTAGATGTAATAAATCTATAATTAAATATTGTTATATATAGTTATATATAATTATATATAATTAGATATGATTATATTTGGCCATTTTTCATATATAATCATATATAACCAATTTATATATAAATATTTTTTCTCGGGTTATAGTATTATACTAAAAATTAGGATGAATAAAAAGTAAAAAATAAAAATAAAAAGTACGGACTTGGTCCATGAAGCAGTTGATGATTGGAGTGTTACTTTAAAAATTTTACATATAAATTTTTTTAACTTTCAAAGCATGTAATGCAGTTTAGAAATTTTCGAATAACCTGTAAGATTTTTTAAAAATGTATTGAAGAATATAAATGAACCTCGAAATACTTTTAACAGACGGAATGAGCATTATTACTACTGCATTTTAACTGACAAATATCTATTCGATATCCCAAAACAAGATAACTACTTCATAATCTTCAATTTTTGGAATCTTTTAAAATTTTTACAAGATATTGCATTTTGGTCACTCGAAAACATTTAATGTACAGTTTTTGAAAGTTATAAAAAATTTTAAGCAACATTAAGAAATCAAATGGCATGAAATTTTCAGCACGTAGTTTTCAATCATAAGAAACTACTATATTCTTACAGGAGACTTGATAGAATAAATAATAGTTTAAAAAAACTAAAAACACGCTTTTTATAGAAAACCAA